ATTATTGGGAATTGTTATAAGATTATTGGGAATTGTTATAAGATTATTGGGAATTGTTATAAGATTATTGGGAATTGTTATAAGATTATTGGGAATTGTTATAAGATTATTGGGAATTGTTTTAAGATTATCGGGAATTGTTATAAGATTATTGGGAATATCAACTAGTGCATGTATCAGATGATCAGAAATAGTAAGCTTGTTTACACAAGATTTTTGGTATGTTATGGATCCTGTGAAGAAACTGCTGGGGCACATGAGAAATTTGGGAATTTTATTATTGGGAATTTTAATATCAGGATTATTAAAAAATGAATTTGAGCAATAAAGTGAAGTATGAAATGAAAATGAAATCCGAAATTTTCTTGGACCAAGGATTATTTTTGCCTCATTAATTCTTCTTCTTTTCTCCTGAAGGTATGCGGAAAGCAAAAGCCTACATGAAAACTCGTGTGCCTCTACTTCCCTCCAAATATTTCATACAAAATTATTTGTCCTCATTTTTGGAGGATCCCATCGTTGAGGAAGCAAAGGCCTTGAATGCAAATGTTCATGAAGAGGAAGCCGTCGATGATACGTGAGTTTATGGTTTTTTGTTTTATAATTTTCCTACTACGATATTAAATTTCCTGAACTGCTTCCAGAAATTCTGGCCATTATTTGAAAGCGCTGGAAGCATTCAATGCCGGTAACCACGAGGAAGTTCTGACACAGTGCAATATGGAGTTGAAGGGCTATGATTCACCTAGTGGGGAAGGTGATGAGAGTGTTCAGGAGAAAAAGGAAGAAGTGGCGAAGGCCCTTCTTTTGAGAGGAACCTGGTTGTTTTTGATGGGTGATGGAGCCAAGGCTCTGAAAGATTTCACAGCCTGCATCGAGCATCCAGATGCGAATCTTAAGGTCAGCCTGTGTTGTGATTGAGACCTGTAGGTGCGCATAGTTGTATTGGCGCTTTTATTCTGATATATAATCCCCTGTTGGGAAACAAGCCAATAAAACACATAAAAAACAAGAGACTAAAGTGGTGAAATAATATTGCACTAGACCATCATCCATGACTTAAGTTGACATGAACAATAAACAGTATAAGTACAGTGAGACCCCAAGATGTGGATTTTCAACTCAATAAGAACATTTGGAGCATTGAATAGTGTATTTCTGTACTGTACACTGAAATTTTGGCATTACAAAAATAACATTCAAGTGAAAAAAGTAAAAGTCCCTCTATGCTGGAGGTGATTTTTTTAATTAGTGGAATGGATGGTAATTTGGTGAAAGAAATGCCCAAGAACTTTTCTTACATCAATTTCAGGGTTGGAAATATCTGTTTCTTGTAATTAGGCCAAGAAATTATTTGCAATTCATCACAAAATGTCCCTATGTCAAGTCAGTGTCCTCATGTTGGGCCCTTTTTATGCCATTTTTATTGAAAAATAAATGTCCCTATTTTGAATTGTCCTCAGGTCGAGGTGTCTGCGTGTGCAGGTCTCACTGTACATATTTTTCAGGTTTTTATTCATAGTTTCCATTTATTATAGTATTTAAATATCCACGCACTGTATTTAATTCTAACATGTTGTGCATATTTATATTTTTCTGTATATTAACACATATCTGCATAAGTCCAATTTTTTTCTGCATATTTTTAATATTTTTCTGAAAAATGTTAGTATTTTTCATATTTCTGAAAATTCTCTGCATATTTATAATATTTTTACAGTGCAGGTATTTATATTTCATATTTTTCTATGTATTTATAACACTTTTTCGCAATACAGTACATTACTATACTTCTATAATTTATGTACAATACTGTATTTCCAATATCAGTAATATGTTAATGTATTTTTACTGTATTTTTTTAAGGTAAAAGTAAATGCTCTGATCAAACGGGCATGTCAGCATCTTCAAGACGAGGATGTTGAATCCTGCTTTGCTGACTTTGACCGGGCTTTGAAGCTCGATCCGAGCAATGGAGACGTTTTCCATCATCGTGGACAGGTTGGTTGTTGAGTTTTCATCCATGCTTATGAGGTCAATTTCCTCTGAAATGCTTTCTATAATTTCGGGAAGGTGTCGCGTAAAGTTACTTCGTTCTTGTGCACTTGGGCCGCCACCCAGCTTTCCACAAGCCATTTTGGTGAAGTGGGAAATTGTTTCAATCGCAGATTTTAAAAAATATTCGTTTTTGGCGAAATGGGTCTTGTACGCAAATATAACGGCTATTCCCGTAAAAATCAGCAGCAATTTTAATATCTTACACGCTAATGTTGTATAACTCCAAGGTCGAATGTGTAAATCTCCATTACATGATCTGAGTCGTAATTACCGATTGGAGTACTTCGGAATTGAGATTAAATTCAGGCGCCATCCGTGTTGAAATAAATTTAAAAACGTGAAGTCGGGACAAAATGCGTGGGAAAGCTTTCCGTCATTATTTACGGTACTCCAGTTTTTTTGCTGTTTACCGGATTTTTGAACATTCAAGATATCTGGAAGATGTGCATTTCTTCTTTTATAAATACAGTATACTATTGTGGTCGAGATCATCAGTTGATATTATTGTAATTTTTATGTTTGCTATTTTCTAATGTTATGTTTAGGTGATGATGCTGTTGGAAAAGTATGACAAGGCTGTGTCAGACTTCGACAAGGCTGCTGCTTTGCATCCGAGTTTTCCTCC